TTCCCCCTTCCACCCCCACCCCCACCTCCCCAGCCACCTCTTCCACCACCTTCTTGTCTTTTTTGCCAAGGAGGCATTTCGGGGGGAGGTGGTTCAATCTCTGTTGGTCTGCCTCCACGGTCAGGTACTCTCCCCATCAGAACCTGTATGGAAAAATAGGTAATTTTCAGTTTAAGACAACTGTTACAATAACTCGAAGGGACACAAGGTTATCCTCCCACGGACAAAGACATGCTGCCTGCTCTTTATAGGGAATACGGTTCCCTCAGTGTGGTGCCTGACAGCAGAATCCCTATTTCCTGTCCTTGTAACTTGCCACAATGCAACAAAACGCTGAAAGTGATCCTGTTTTCCACCTATAAAACTGAAATAACTGCAGCTAGCTAGCTCATACTGCTTTTGTGAAATCTTTATGAAGAAAACTACAAGTATGTGAAGTATTAGTATTACAATAAGCAACATACATAATTCATATATATGAATATATAGAGAGATACAGAAAAGACTCCTTATGATGCATATCTTCTACTTAAGTTTTAAAGTTCAAGTTCAAACCTAATCATCTGGAAAAAAAATGCAAACTGGCAAACTGATGTGCAACTCTAAAAGGAACGGCAGTTTGGCTTCGATTAGAAACTACTGACACTCAGGAGAGAGCTGTAACGGACAAAATACACAACATGCTGCAGTAACACCTTCCAGAAAAGAAAAAAACAAAGTGATCTTGACTTTGGTGGGTATTACTCAATGTACAAAAAGGGAGACAAAGTTACACAGAACATAAGCTGAAGAACAAAGAGGTATCCAAGTAGGTCTTTTTGTCGTTGTTTTCCTATTTCCTAAACTCTCTGTGTGACAAATGTTAACATACTCCGGTCAGTCCCAGGCACTCCAATTAAAGTCCTCTCAAGAAAAAAAAAAAACAAACCAACTTTCTCTAAGATCCTACAATAATTAAGAAATTTCAGAACCTTTGGGATCAAAACATATTAAAGGGTATCTAAATGAGGCACAAAACTTTAGCAAAATCTGTAAATAAAGGATTAATAAAAACAGGCTTAGTCACCATTTGAACGGTGAAACTAACATCATTACTTGCAAGCTTCAGCTTTTATCATACACGAGAAAGCAGTACAACGTTGATTTATTATGGTAGCCAAAACACAGTTTTACTTTGCAGCAAAATGACACTTCCATGGAAACTTCTGTGATTTATAATATACTGATAAACTGAAGATGCTGATTTATGAACTGAACAATATAATCCTGGCAACAGGTAGCCCAGGAACTGATACCACAAAGACTTACACGTATCTGTAACTTGAGGCATGCAGTTCCACTGAACTCAAGACATCATTTACAGCACGCACACGCATACACCACCCACCACTGTTCCTTCTCAACTAGACTACTGTTTCATCCTGTTGCATGACTGACTGTGTAACAAGATAAAAAAAAAGAAGTTGCTGAAATGTTTCTTAGAATGCTGCAAACCTTCCTTTCTTAAAGCACCGGGTATCTTGTGAAAAGAAATCAAAACATTAAGCAAAGAGTACAATTCCAGAATTCCTTCTAACAGGTCTGTAAACTCCCATGTCCTTTTATCACATCCCAGAAAGAAAAAGTATATACCTTGTTGATCGCACAGACTGTATTTTCCCGTGTTGATCCACTACTTGTTCTTATGATCTTCGATAAATCTTCTCGAGCAGCAAGAAGGTGAGCTAATGTAATAGTTGACTTTGGAGATAAGGCATAGCGCTTGGGCTGATAGATTCGCGCTATGTCATCTGTTTTTACCTAAATGATAAAATCAAACACAACTTACTTGCTCGGCATAAAGCACACAAACACACTTACTGTAAACCATGTATTGGTCTCAGTAAGTTTCAATTTGAACACACAGCGTAATGTCTGAAAATCTAGGTTATCTCACAAAACATAGTGCCAGTCGCTACCAGTTCTCTTTGTATTGATGGAGCTATTGTATAAAAATGCCGCTGATTATGTTTAATTGATGTTGAAACTTCGCACCATTACAAAAGAAACTCTCCTATCCACTGGCATCAAACAGATTCTTTGATGTTTCCAACATATCTAAAGACTAAAATTTAAGAGTCCAAACTGCTCTCTCCAGAGCTGTACGTAGCCATATTTAACAGATCGCTTCTAAAGGTGATGCAAACAGAGCAATTTCGAAGTAAGGGCATTTTGTGGCAAAAAAGTTAAAATGTATCAATGCAGCAAAACACTTGTGCAAACCATGAAAAAGTGAGACTGAGAAGGGGAGAAAATAAGACTTTTTTCCAGACACACTTTGATGTTTCATTTGCTTAACAAAAAAGAAAAATAAATACGCTTTCGGGAACATCTAGAATGTTCTTCAGAGTAGAAAAAAAAAAAATTATCTTGGATGGACCAGACAACAGGTCCTGTTCCTTTACATGACTGTTTTGCTAGGCAATTACTCCACCATTTACAGACCCATTTCAGTCTGCAAACTTACCCCTCTCGGGAACTGAACAAGTTAAAAAAAAACCCCAACACACAAAAAAGGCCACGCTATCAAAGGCAGAGAAAGGTATCAACACCTATTTAATGGTGGGAAAAAAGGCAGGCTAACAAATAAATTAAGAAAGGACATCAATTTGCCTCTTGGCTTAAAAAAATAATATCTAAGTTATATCAATGCCAAATCATCTTCAAGCCCCAAAACATTCTTGGAGAACTTATAAGGAAATATTTCTACAAGAGAAACAAAGAAAAAATACAACAATCATATGTAATTTTGAATTAATGTGTAACCTGGTTATTTCTGTAACTGCACACTTTTTCACATCAACATTGTTTATATGACAGGAAAATGAATCATCTTACTACTTTATCATAATTAAAAATCTCTTTAAACTGTTGTTCTATTGCAAATGCGTATTCATTGTTTTTCATGTTGTTTGAATGGAATAATAGCAAGTGACTTAAAATTTTAGTCTGTTTAAGTTAGCGACCAGTTAACATCAACTACATTTTAGAAATATACTTTAAATTTGAAAATATACAGTTGTGCTCGTACAGCTACAAGGAAGTTCACATGTAGGGACATCTCTTGGCTTCTGTAAGCTAAATGTCCTTCTTTTCCTTTCCTGCAGCATAAGAGCATTCACAACCCCTGCAGAAATTAAACAGTGAGCCGTTCCAAAGCTGCACAGCAGCACCTAGACTCATGTCTTCCAGGGATACCTAGTGAGCTTCATGAAACCAATTCTGTCTGTATGCGTCAACAACAAATTATGACCCCAGAAAGGCTTGTAACAATCCATACTTTAAGCTTTTGAAGTCTTAACACTTACTCATCTTAAGCTTTCTACACAAATCTTTGGAAGGAAAGTTGATCTTGCAGCTCATGAGCAAGAATATCTGCCTCCAGCTTCCCACATGTATATTCATCAAATTACAAATTTTTTGTATCTTATCTCCCTACGTTCTTGGATAGAAAAAATATATATTTCTAGCTCAGAAATATCAGATTAGTTAAATTATGACTGTTTTTTAAATGTACACAGTGCTAAGAAACAGTACAAATGAAATGATGACAACTAAAATGACACCAGCAGAGAAAATCCAGAGGAGTGGTTTGGAATTTTTAGCCACCTGAAGGATTACAAGTAACGGTGTGCTTTTCTCTTACAGGCTGCTATTCAAATAACTTGTTTGGCTGACCATCTGTTCATTCTGCAGCTTTGAATCCAAGACGAAAGGCAGCAGTCACTGTAATCTCACTGAGTTTATAGGCAGTCACTCTTTGCACCCAATCTACGTTAAGGCCCCAGTGTTTGTCTTCCTCTTGCATCTGCATGAGAAATGCTGAGGTTCCCCCCTAGTTTACTTGACTAGAGGAGGGTGGATATAGTGAAGAAAAAGGGAGATGTGAACCTTAAGTGAAGTGAGAAACCCCAACAGAGGATGCTAGAATTTATAACTGTGAAGCTATAAAACAAAGGATGGACTGTGCCATCTGGTCAAATCCTTCCCCTTTCTCAATATCTAGGACTTGGATGTTACAACTTGGGATGAGAAACTGGTTGGAAAGATGACAACAGTAATGGAAGTGTATTTACATCGTGTATATTCAGTAGGACGACCTGGGGAATTGTAGCAGACTCCCACCTACAGGAAGCAAAAAATACAGCAAGCTTACCTTTGCTCTATCAGACCAGCCAAAAGACTGTACTGTCACATCCAGCCTCTTCATTAACATACGCCGGCGACATTCATACTCATTGCGAAGAGCATCATTGATTTTTTCCAATCTTTCCTGCAGTGTTACAACAACAAAATCCAGTCATTCAAATCTATAAAGTTATAGAAGTCAATTTAAAGTTAACCCCGTTCAGCAACTAAGATGTCTATCCCCAGGTGGCCATTACAAACTACATAAAATTAGGGATGTATCTATGTAGTGCTACAGTAGTATGTACATACAAAATATTTTGAAAGTTACTAAGTGGATGAATCAACATAAAATCTGTTTTATAACATTAATTCTGGAATTAGCACTGGATTAGCACTGTTAATATTTAGCAATTGAATTTTAGTATTAATATTTAGCAACAGAACAGCAACTGTAAAATCGACAAAGTTAGATGAAGCCGTATGCATTAATTTTGACCATGCTGTTAAATACAGAAAAGAAATGGAGAGGCTTTTTTTTTTACCGCTTGGTCAGAAGTCAGAGGTTTTGTTAGCAGTGATTTCCCCACAAGGTTATTTTGAACTTTTGAGAGAATGTCCTTTATCTGAAATGAAACACATACTTCTCAGAACACAAATGATATTTACGTTTATTTCAGCACAATTTGCTGCAATTACAATTTGCTACTCCTCAGATCAAATACAGCACGTTTGTTCTAGCAGACTCATAAAAACAGATACACATCTTCTGGCTTATCATCCATTACAAAAAGAAGATTTCCTGAATACTTTCACTACATGACGAACCTCTATACAAAAACATTTTCTGGCACACCACTTCTCCTCAAAATTATAATAGAACAATATCTATATGGCAAATTTATCAAGTGCATAGAGACAGTAGGACTAGTTAAATTATTCATTTTACTTACTCCTAAGTGTTGTAACTACAACTAAGGAAATGCAACAATTGGAAGCTAGGAGTTCTGTTGCCAAATGCTAGGCTTGGCTACAAAAATCTGGTGATGGGTGCTAGTAAGAAAGGCAGGAGATATGATAGGCACGTGGTCATTCTCTCTCACTAATTTTCTTCTAATCCCAAAGTTGGTTCCATTTAACATTATGTGTAAGACTTTTGCATTCTTTCTGAATCAGCCTGCATTATACTTTCATTAGTTTTTGCCCTCAATAATCAGGGATGAAGTATGCTCTCTCTCTCTCTCTGCCTTCCAAACTCCACTGCATTCTCTCCTCTCATTACAAGAAATCTCTACTTCCTCTTCTTGAAGATTGGCACAGCTCTTCTAAAACCATTATCATGAACACTCACGATGCTCTTATGTAACTTTCCAGCCTACTGATTTTTCAGCTGGAGTAGACTTCTTGCATATTATTGCTCCTGCAAGTTTTGCAGACAGTCTGATGGGGAGAACTACACCTTTTTTAAATAATTATGGGGAACCAAGTCAAACAAGTCTAAAACTAGCGTAAATCATATTTTACATGTCACAAGGAAGGATTAAAGTAGTGTATAATCTACAATAAAACCTGTAGCTGAGGACAGCCATTAGATACATTTGCAAGGATTATAAGACTTCATGTAGGCACACAGGCATTTACATTAAATTTATCGTAAAGGTATGGTTCAAAGCTCACTCTTCCAGTATTATCTTAGTTCACCTTGTCAGAGTTTTGAGCTCTCTGTATTATAGAAATACTACCTCCAGTGATGACTGTTAAAAAAACTTCTAGGAGACAGAAATCAAATTCTACAGCACCTAGTTATTTGATTAAAGAAAGCTACTTGAAAAGGAATACTTCATAAATCAACTATCATATTTCAGGTTTTTGTAATTATCTCCTTTTCCTTTTTTTGCATATACCAAGGAAAGAATCTGATCTCAAATTCTGCGTGAAAACCAAGGTGTATATTTTGTTCTTTTTACATCGCTTTTGGGCAGCACGGTGGCAAGTTAAAAACAATATTACCCCTGGAAAAAGTCTGAAGTAAAAAATGTTGTGCAGTAAACAAATTATGGGAAAACAAGTGTGTTGACTCCAGCAGAAAAGATAGTCTAGTAGTATCTGAAAAGTGGTTATCTAGTTACTGTAACATTCCCTGCTATTATACTCCACCCATACCAAAAAAGAGGTTACAATAAGGGGTGAATTTCAGTTCCATGACCCCCACACTCCTCTTTCTCTGCTAATTCTTGCTCCTTCGCAACCTTTATTTTCTTCACAAAAAGCCTTCCAGGGCTGTCTGATTTGTCTGTCTTCTAAATGTAGCCAGCTTGTTTTGATTTTAGTGAAGCATGTACATGATGCCTCTTACAATCTACTTCAAAATTCAAATGTACTTAAGCATAAACTATGCTTGAATTTAAACAATGTCTGAAGAATCAAAAACTGAAGTTAATAATCAACAATATAGTAAGATCATCATGACAGCAAGAGATGAAGAAATCAGTAATTAGTGTAGAAGAAGGAATAAAGAGCAGATGACTTAAAAATTCTATTAGGCAAGAGGTGTCTATCCGTACACCATTAAAGTCAGAAGTATAACCTCAAAGGTTCTAATGAGTTGAAAGGAAGAGAGTCTACTAAAATGAGACTGGCTGCTGGAAAAAAACACCACCAACAAAACCAAAACATACCCTCAACGTAATTTATAGTTACAGAGTAGAAGAAAATCTGGAAACCGGTGATGCTGAATACTATCTAGAGATTAGAATTACTGCAAGTTTGCAGCTGCAAGGGCAGCTAAGAGGTAAATACAGCACTGGGCTCCACGTACAAAAGCCATACACTCTGCTATCACAAGTCGATCACAATTAAAAGGCCTAACCCAGCACTGCATACTCCTGATTTCCATAAACTGAAGAACGAAAGGAAGTTTAGAGAGAACAATTAAGGAAGAGAATCAGTGAAAATCGGAACTAGAAGAAACAAGAGCAGCTAAATTAAACAACCCTTTCTTGACTGGAAAACTGCCCCCTGAATTTCTGCAACCTTTTCTTTCCAAGTTAAAGAGAATACCTGTGTAATTTTACCCAATGATAGGTTTATTAATCGAGTAACACTTAAGGAGGAATCTTTTCACTGATGAAGTGGTCTACATTCACGTTTGTGACACACTGTAAAGTCACACTCAGATTACTGAGTCTCCACTTTACTCCCTCATTCCCCTCAGCAGGATGCTGAGTGCATAGCCTACACCTATACCGTCGAGGTCAGCTGAGCTGCCTTACGCTTGCAGAATACATCGCCCAGCCCTGACTGACGACAGGGCTATGAGCAAAAGAGCTTTGACATGCACCTGTCTGCCAGAGGACAAGAATACAACGGATGTGAGAATCTACGCTGTAACCTACATTCCTAAACATGACAGTTGCCGTAGATTAAGAAGGTTAAGCAGGAGTTTAAGAAAACCCCACCACTACCACCACAACCCAGAAAGGAGTCTGTATGTGTAAGTGGGAACAAGACCAGAAGAAGTGCCCAGATAAGGAAGCAGTGAAAACATACTCATAGAAATGTAAAACAAATTCTAACAGCCAAATCACCCCAAAGTTCTCACTCAGCTGTAAAAAGCAAACCAATTAATTAAAAGCTAGATGGAGATGAATATATTTGACTATTCGACATACTGTGTAATCAATGACCTTGGTAACATTAAATATTTATAGGATTGCTTTGGAAGTTCACATATGCTCTAAAAATAGTTTAAAACTAAATTGGTTATTGGATTTGTCTGAGATAAAAATATTGACTTAAAAGCCTGCTGTATAAAATTATACAGTTATTCTATTGTTACCAAAGAAAGCATACTTTACGTATTGAGCATGACATTTCTCATCTGTTTTATAAGTCTGTACTCCTTTCAAAAAAATTTTAGCTCACATGTCACTACCATGTTCCATATTATTTATTACTGATCTTTATCCTCTGTCAATATAAAGCAGTAATTTTTATGTTTAACACCATCTGCACAAATAAACATCATGTGTGCGTGCACCTCCAGGGTTTCTAAGATTTTGAAAAAAAAACCTGACCAGGAGAGAGGTGTCATTTTATTAATTCAACTTAAACTATCAACACTTTAAAGACGGAACATTGTCTCAAATAGTCATAACGTATACTGCACAATTGCAGAAAGATGACCTAAAATCTTAAGCACAAAATATCTTTAACCCATCCTCTGCCTCTCTTCCATTTAGCTGCAGATCATTTTAACTTCAATATTTATCTAACTTTAAGGACACTTTTGTTTGACCTTTATGTCAGGTGAACGCGACAACTCTTTCATCTTGTTTCCTGCAACTCCATGGATACTTAATGTACAGGAACCACTATGTCTGTAAAATTATTAAGCACTTAACAGTGGAAAGTAACACACTAACTTAAATATGAATAAGTTCTAGGAAGTATTCCCAAATATTTTTAAAGATATTATTCTCATATTTCACTTAAATGTTATTTTAGCTTAGTTTTGATTTAATTCCTGTGGTAACCCTTTATAGTTTCTTTTCATTGTCTACTATTAGGGAACTGCTTTTCACGTATTAGAAAACAAATAATGTGGGCAAAACCAATTTAGAAGCCTTTTGAATAATATCGTATTAGGAAGTCTTTCAAATATACAGTATTAGAATGTCACTTCGTAATCAGGTGTGAAATTCACACTATCTCGACTGGAAAAAAGCCAGGTGTGGTCAGCATGAGTTATAAAGCGCAACACTGGCATAAACTTTCCTGAATCTTTCATCAATGTTCATTTAGAATTAATGGGGGTTTTGGTACTAAATTTCAGAACACCTCCCAGCGTTACCCTTTGTAAATATACTTCACAAGGGAACAGCAGGTTAAAACAACTGAAAAATTACTATTAGTTTTTCAGTGCTACAGAATAAAATATATTTAGTGGTAGACAGCTGTAATACTGCCAACTCATCTCTCACATTTTCTTACGTATGTTGAGAACCACTACCCCAGTTTAGTACAGGAGATGCAAATTTAAAAGGTACCTCCTATGGCTGCATATTCAAAGTTTGAGCTACTATAAAACTCATAGTTTGAATGAAGAAAGCAATCCTGGTTTCATACTAGTCCTTTCAATAAACTGACAAATTATTAAAAACAATCAACGTTCTCATGTTCCGTACCAAAATACAATGTGTGATCTGTCCCTTTGGTAGATTGCTGCTGCACAGCCAAACTATTCTCAGAACTATTCCCACAGCTACTGACAATGCTGAAGATGCTAGACAGAGACAAAGAGTAGACATGTTGAAATGCTGCAGATACATTTGCAAATTCAATAAAAATACTAGATTAGTATGTAAGTTTCTATAACAAATGATATAGTAAATACTAAAAATCAGCTAGTAAATACTAAAAATCAACAGTGCAGTTTTACACAGAACCTAAATAAATAACAAGTAACAAAATATTTGGAAAAAGAAATTGATGATTTCAAGTCAATTCTTGCAAGAATCTAAAAAAAGTAACAAATGGCACTCTGAAAAAAAATGTTTACAAAGCCAATGAATTCCAGTTGGTGGCATCACTGTTCTAATGCAGACACATCTACAAATGCAGGTGTTTAACTCTGTCTTGTATCAAAATAACTTTGAACCTGTCCTATATTAAAGTAAGAAACGAAGGAAGGAATTAAACAAGGAAATGTATAGAAAAAATTGTACAAAATCTCCTGAGAGGTAGGAAAAAAATCCTGCATTTGTAAGGGATGAAACATGCAGAGAACAAATTACACCATTAATTTGGGGTCACAGAAGATGAGTGAACTAGTTTTGCACCTTTCTACACTCTGAAGTGAGTACAAGTAGTATAACCACTGTGGAATTGACAGACATGAAAACTATCACAAAATAGCTCGGGCAGTATTATTAAAAAAAAAAAAAGATTAAAAAAAGATAACACACTTTAAAGATTCTGCTTGTTTTAGTCCTTATGAAACTGTAAAAGTTGACATAAACTGTAACAGTAACACCCTACACACCAATTCAAGCCTGTGACCCTATCTGAAAGGAAATCTTGGATTTTGCAAAAGGTGGCAGATACCAGGAGTCTAATAATTCAAAGAAAACTTTCTAGACTCTCTATGTGTGTGTGAAGGAACTGGCCCACCAGGTCTGGCTTCGCTGTCCTGCAGTCGCAGAACTAGAGTCCTACCCCTTTAACTTGGGATGAAACTAAATCTGTAAGGATTTAGTGAAGAGAAGCAAGGAAGCAAGCAAGGAAGGCTGCTGCCCATGGCTGCAGCGTACAAACCCACGTGGCTGTAAACACAGCTAACACCCACAGAGGGAGATCAACAGTAGTAGGCAAGTTTCAATCAATTAGTTATCAGCTGGAACTCTGACATTTTAATCCTCAGAAAAGTGCTAGAATTGTTTCTTCATCCTTTCAAAAATACTTAATGGAAAGACTGGATATAAAGATTCCACTAGAACTAAATAGGTCAGGCACAGTTAACGGTGCAGGAATAGGCATTTTCACTGTCACCTGGATGATACTTTTTATAAATGAATCTATTAAAAGGTTTAGTCTTGTCACACTAAAGACGTACAGATGTAAGAAAACCATGCAGGTAACAGGCCCTCTCCCCAAAATCTCCGAATGTTCAACTGCCCACTGGATGATAAGAAGAGGAGGAGGAGGAAGAAAAAAAGCAGCATAATCATATAAATTATTAAACTGAAAGACTCAGCAGCAGAGGGAGATTCATTCCATCTATCTCTCAAAATTCTTAAAGGGGACGGGTCACTCGCTCTTTCCCCAAATACTAGGGAGAAACAAAGAACACAACTTTTAGCTGCCTGACAGGGAAGATAAATTCCACCCCAGGAACCTATTTACATTCTACAGTGAGGAAGTCAGACCAAGGATCACATCAGTGAAATGAGTTAGAAACTGGTGGGACACAACTGAAAGAACTGTCGAATAAAGTTTAAGTTGGCTTATTCGCTGACTATTGGCAATTTAGGCATTTTCATCCTCTTCTGCAACTAAGGAAACGGCACTAACAAATCAATAATTGCAATTAAGAAGTTAATAAAATAAAAAGCAAAACCTGAAGTTTCAGATATTGAATTTAAATACATCCCAGAACCAACTGTAGGTACTTAAGTCTGCAATCAGTTATTACCCCAAGTCTTCTGCTTGCTGCAGCACATTTGAATGGGTAACAGGAAAACTATGTTACTTCAACTCATACCTTAAATTTGCACAACAAAGCATGCCTCATCAGGTACATCGAATCCTCAAGGAAATGCTGAAATACTTCAACTCATAACTAAAAGTTTAACTTAAGCACTAATCTGGCCTTCAGAATAAAAATTTCTTTGCACTTGTCAGATAGGGCTTTTATGGATTGGACTGTTGGGCCCTTAATTCTAAGAAGAATGCTTACAGAGATAATGCTTACAGTTTAACAATAGAGAGAACACACAAAAACACATACCTTTTGTTCCACATTGGTTAACAAGGGAGGAATATCAGAAGACGAGGAGTTTGGCAGGCCCAGAGCATCGCAAATAGCTTGCACTTCCTGATAAATTTCATTGTGCTTTTCCAAATGAGAGCCTTTACTTTTCTTGCTGTGCAATATCTTTAAAGCCTGAAGTTCTGTACTTAGAAATACTAGAGAGAAAAGTGTCATAATGGCAGATTTAGAGACACTTGGATATTTCTGCATCCACATTCTGATACACAAATACAACATATACATTTATAATAAGGCCATGATAAAAGGAAGACTCTTTCTCAGTTGTCTCCTGGACAGTGTCAGTTTCCCGTTCTTATCTGAACTAACTCTCACCTGACTTCCTACCTTCAGCCTAGACATCATATTTAACTGCTTAACCCACTTTTGCCACCAGACCCCTAGTCACTTGGCTAGTTTCATATTATCACACTGGTTCCTGCTGCTACTCCTTTGTCCAAATGCAGCTTAAACCTAGATTTTGCATTTCTCAATCCTGCTTTCAGCATCTTCAAATCACGTAGCATTTTCTTTTAAGCTGCCCAGAAACCTCTCAGAAACACAGGAAGCAAGGTCTCAGTTTCAGCTGAGCTGGAATAGATCAAGAGAGGGATCAGGAAGCCTCAGGAAGTTGAGCCATACTTCACAAAGAAATTTTAGTTTCTACTAAAATAGTTTTCTAATAGTTTTCTATTCTCTACTTCTGCACAAGTGAGCTGATGCGTGCTCAGCTAGGTTGTAATGATTGTACACATATATTTAAATACACATAAAGAACTATTTAATGTAAATTGTACAGTAACAATAGAGCATGCATGTAAAATACTGTATTATAAATGGGAAAAATGGTTACAACTTACAGAGGAGTTTAAGACAATCTTCTTTCTCTCTTAACCTGCCCTTGATGTCTCCAGATGTAAGTGATGAATACGGACAAGCCATTTCTCTCAGAAAGCCACTAATCTCAAGCTGGAAGCTCTCTATATCTTTATCACCTATGGGAATAAATAAACACAAAGCTAATGGCTTTTTACAGAAACATCAAACTGTAACTGAATTTTCTTAACGTATACATTTAAGATGCAGGTTTCAATAGCCCAAAGATCTATCACCTACCAACCCAGTAACATTTTCTTTCTTCTTAAAGAAGTTCTACATAGAAGCAGACAAGCCTTTTAATAGTTACAGCAATATTGTACTCATGCTTTGAACAGGAAGGTGATGCTACAGCAGTTTTTGAAGACATGAATGCGAATGAACATCACTAGGAAGTGAACAGCTTATGTCACAGAACAGTGTATCAATGTAATTAATTTTCTGATGAACAAGTTACAGGAGTCATGAGCCCATTTTTTTCAACGGTTGTTTTCAGTTTTGCTATTTTTTTGTGAAAACGTAAGAAATATACAAAATCTCATCCAGAGACAGAAAGAATCAGGTAGTGCTAACAAGCAACTCGTGTATCTACACAGAGCATGGAACGGAACATTGCATCGGACCAACCAGCTGAAAATACCAGGCACCGGAATTTAAGCCATCAAAATATGATTACATATAACAACCACTCATAGAACGCATGAACGTACTTTTTATATTTACGTGGATCTAAAAAAAACCCCAAAGCACCTTTTTTTTTCCTCTTTTTAAAGAATCTTCACAAAACAAGACCTTAATCTAAGAGCCACATACACGTAAACATCAGCCTCGGTTTGGCTACCTTCCAGCTATCTTCTAAACTTCAATACTGTAATTTCACTATTAGCTGAACAGCATGGGTCTAAATCCACTGAACAAATACTAAATTGCTTTAATAAGGTAACATTCATATACCATCTGTTGAAGTGATGCTTTCTTCCATATTACAAAGTGACTTTATTTGGGAACCTAACCAAACGCAAAGCTCAGAAAATTCTCGTGAAGACAATCCATTTTCTGCTGCTTTGTCCAGGGCTTCCTCCTCCAACAGGGGACCCGTGTACCTGCACAGAGACAAACATTAGTGATGAGAAGCAAGTTTAACACAAAATATACACATTTTAAAATCATTTTACTATTAGCTGGTTAGTAACTACACTGAAAGAAATTAATCTTTGTAAGTTACTTCTATCAAGTAACTTCAGACTTTTTTTAAGCACACCATAAAATGAGAGGTAATTTATAAACAAAATGGCTTGTCAGCAAATAGGAGGCAGGCATTTTCATATATCCCACGTGCATGTGAAAACAGAGTTTCATGTCTCAATACATGCTAAACAGACAAGAATTCAAGTATTAATTGAAGTGCTTAGCCAAACAAATTTCCTTCTGGCATTAACAACTCACTGCCCTAGTGCACTGGCAATAAGATAACTGAAAATTAAACTAAATTTTACATTGTTTCCGCTGTGTTGCATCTGAAGCACCTTCGGGGGAGGTGAGCAGGCAGGAATGAACGGGGCGGGCAGCCGGGCCGGTGGCAGACCCGGACGCCCC